AATTTTTAATTATCACAATCATTGATACTTATTTAGACAATTTTTATCATATATAGTTTTGATTTTTCCGGGAACAATTTTGTAAAATACAACATTATTAAATTTCTACAAAATTAATGTCAAAAATTGGTGATGTTCAAAGACTTGCTGGTCATCAATGGAAAATGCTACAAAATTTTTGTTTTCAGTAAAATGATCGTACATTATTATATTTTTACACGAGGATATAATCTATAAACTGGGCACATCATTTACTGGTAAAATAATTAATTTACGTTCACACTATAAAAGCGCATTTTCTTTTTTCCACCACTTATATATAAATCATATATTATTAAATTTAATATTGATACATTCTGACATTGCGATAAGTGACAGTGATGCATAAAAATTGTCATATAAAGAAAGGCTGTGTTAAGTGAGGTTAACTCTATATTATAAAATAGTGGTAATTTTAAATAATATTTTCCTGTTATATCCTTTTGTTACCTATTTCTCTGGTGCACTTTTTATTTTCCAAAGTTTCTCTTTAAATTCCGTCCCAGCAATATGGGAATTTTAAGAGTTTTCAAATAATGGGTAACATTACAATTAGAGGATGTCTATCTAATCTTAATCTAGTTTTAGTCAATCTTAATTTTAACTTTAAAAATTTAAGAATTTCTAATTATATGTTGGTTAAATTGTTTCGCTTAATTGAATTGTTTATTAAATTTTATTTAATTTATTGGATATTGTAAAACAGTTTAAAAACACATGATTTTAACATATACATAACCTTTACGTTAATACTTTTATTATAACCAAATATAGCGAATATGACAATAACTATTCAATTTTAACTTAGCATTACACATAGACTTAGCATTACCCATATTAAAGTAAAGCTATAAATTTAGGTTGTAATCCTATGTTAATTCCCAATAGACTAAAGAATCTCATGATAAATTATAGACATAGACTTAAGCTGTAATCCCATGTTAAATCCCATATAATAGACGGCTGGGGGAAGGGGCAGATGCCCTATGCCACAGACTTAGCATTACCCATGTTAAGCATATGTCATAGACTTAAGCTGTAATTCCAAAGAAACCCATGTAATCGCATTTTCTTATTGCAAAAGTGTTCCCCATGTTATCCTATGGGAGGTTTCCCATATTAAAGTATAGCCATATTATTAACATGGGATCCCATGTTAAATCTGTAAATCTGCAATTGCAGTATATGTAAATTCCATGTGGAAAAAGAGTGAAGCCGAACTACCCTATAAACCACATTCTTCATATATGAATCGTGGGTAAAAATAGTTTCAATAATTGAATTAATCTTTTTATACAATGTATTGAAGTGATATGCAATTTAAATTAATTGTACAAGAATTCTAATAATGTTATAATTAATTTGTAATGCGATTTATAAATTCAAACATTGTTTTTATAATTAAAAATCTACAATCACATATAATCATTTGAATATTGAATTGTTAACGATTAACCACAACACATATTGACTATACACGTCTACAATTCGAACGTTTTCGTTATGCAAGACATTGAAGTGTAGAGCAGAGGGACTTATAGATAACTTTCAGTTAAAAGTCGAGTCAACACTTACAGACATAAGCGGGTGTGAGAGTCATGTGATGGTAGAGGATGTGTGAGATATTAGACAATACATAACTAACGCAAATAATTGTCACACTATTAAATTGCTAATTAATAACAATTGCATTAAATTTCATAACTAAATACTAAAACATCATGCGTTTACATTAGATTATAAACTAATATAAAATTAGTTTCAATTCATTGATCAATAAAATAAAATAATAAAGTGAAAATATATTTTCATATAATAAAAGCGTTGTTTATTATTAAGTGCCAACATCTATACCATTACATGAAAACTCCTTTACCATTCATACATTGCATAAAATTATGTATTACACTACATATGTATTGTACTCAATACACAGCTCTCAATGCATGGCGGTGGCAATACCTGCACTGGTACGATATCGTACCAGTGTTGTATCCAATAAACTTTTTACAACTGCTTGTACTCTATGCAGTCACGTGTTGCCGCAATTGCGCACTAATAGCGCAGAGTGATAGTGAAGCGGAAGGTACGCTATGCATAGCTGTGTACTCACGAGACTTGAGTTTTCACATCAATTTCACAAAGTTAATACAGTGAAGTGGAGAGTTAGTGTTTGGAAGGGATATGACAGTGCATTCACTGCTTCGCTCTGCAGAAAAGCACTGATTTGTTAAGAGTGGAAAAATTTGGTTATAATTAGTGGTGTCGGCCACGGCCGAAGTGGTTATACAAATTGTGGTTAAATAAGATAATTGGTGGCAGCTTTGGGCCAGCCGTACGTCTTAACAAAGATTTGTAGTGAATTAGTGATGTGTTTTGTGTGACTGAAATGTTGGTCGGAAAGGGATAGAGAGAGAGACAGACAGACAGACAAAGTCATGCATTTATACCGTAATAAGTGCTGCCATCTCACACAATTGTCTCAAAAGTTTGATTGAGGCATTCCTGGAATTTTTTAAAGCTGATCCTTAAGACTGATTTTTACCAAAAGTTTGATAATGAAAAGTGCAAAATCGTTCAGTGTGTCTAGGGTTAATAAGACTTATGAATTATTGTGAAATACACATAAAAATTGTCAATAAATGCTAAGAAATATAAAGTTGTGATCAAATTATTTTTTAAATGAAAATCCCAGAATTTACAGTCACCTCAGTATTTATACATGAAACTCAAATATCTGTTTATAATTTTTTCAATTGTACTTATTTGTCATTTATATTTATCAATTAATTTTAATTTGTCTTAGCATATATTGAATTTGATTATAAATCCATAAATTTATACATATAAACGATATATATATTCTTTAGGTTTAAAGAAAGCGGGTAATGTAGACATTAAGCCATAGTTTGTGTTGTATTTTTAATTATTATACCACGGCCTCTAATAGACACTATTTATTATGGGTGTAACAAGTCCACATATAATTTAATATCAAATAGTTTAATAATTGGCTGTAATTTGGCCTGGTTGGTCTAGAGGTAAAAACTCTAGGGCAAATCAATGTGTACCTAGGTCAAAGGTTCAATACCCCACACGGACCATTTGTTCTCAAATTGTTTTCCCAACTTAATTAAAGCTAACTAGTAAGAGTAATCGGTGTGCTCTCGTTAATACGGACACCAGACGGGCTCAGATAGTCCACTGAGGCCAGGCAACGGAGTTGACTGACGGACACATTAAATGTAAATATTAAATTAATATAATAGATTTCCTAATGTAAGATCAGTCATTCTGAATTAGCAGGGTCTATAAATATCAATAATTTCATTTTCAATTTTAATATGTTTAAATAATTTTTAGTTTAAAAAGTATTTTATATCATTAATTAGATATTTTTAATTAAATAATGTTTTAATTGGATTTCTACAATATTATTAATTAACACCTTTTAATTTACACACAAGATATCAATAATTATGAATATTTTTGTGTTATTAGTAGTGTTTATTGGTGTAGGTAATTACAATAGAAATAATAATTTTTTTTTACAAATCATTTATTTACAAGTAATTTTATTTAATAAATAATTCAAATTATTAAATTGTAACAAAACGTAAAGTGCATTCACGCGAGGGTTGCGTTCACAAAGATTACGGAAACGGAGGGACAGTCTGTGTGTGCGATGAAAGCCATTGCGACGACTTGGAGGCCATTCACAGGACAGACAAACAGGTGGTCACTGTTTACGAGTCGTCCAAAAGTGGTCACCGATTGGATAAATCTGTACTCAATTTTGGTCAAAAGTCAGTCCCGAAGGCAAACAAATCAGTGACAATAAATGTTGATAAAAGCCAAGCCTTATATCAGGCGATCATAGGGTTTGGGGGCGCCTTCACAGACGCCGCCGGTATTAACATTAAAAGTTTGCCACAAATACTGCAAAAGCGGTTAATTGAGGACTATTTCGGGGAAACGGGTATTGAGTACACATTGGGTCGGATACCGATCGGGGGCTCAGACTTCTCCACACATGCCTATAGTTATAACGATTACTATAAAAATGATTTTCAATTAAAACACTTTAATCTAACGGAAGAGGATTTTGAACTTAAGGTTTGTATTTTTTAGCATTTATAATTTTAAAACTTTTAGTAATTAGTTTCTGTACCAATTGAGATACCCCTAATTAAAGAGGCTAAAGCTGTGAGCAAGCACGATATACGACTTATTGCTAGTCCATGGTCAGCACCAGCCTGGATGAAAAACAATTCAGAACTAAACCATGGTGGTTTTCTAATAGGTCAACCTGGAGGCAAATATTACAATGCATTTGCTAATTATTTAGTGAAGTAAGTAATGTTAAAATATTAACGATTTTTGGAACATTAAAAATAGTTTATTATGATAAAAATTATAGATTTCTGGACGCCTATAAAGCACAGGGAATACCCGTTTGGGGTATAACTATAGAAAACGAACCCGAGATGGCTATCTATTTGGGCAAAATTCGAAATATAAAACATCCGTTCAATAGTATGACATTCACTCCCGAACTGCAACGGGATTTCCTGAAACTAGATTTGGGTCCCATTATGTCTGCCGCCGGTTATGGGCCTAACGTTACCCGAGTTATGGTTTGCGACGATCAGAGACCGTTCATCAGTCAATGGGCACAAGTCATATACGGAGACAAAGAGGCGGCCCAATACGTGTCCGGAATGGCCTTTCACTGGTATTTGAACAATGTAAGCAATGCTGTCAATCTGGACACTGTGCACAATCAAGATCAGAGCAAGTTTATTTTAAGCACCGAAGCGTGTGAAATGTGGATGGGCAAAGATCAACACGTTTATTTGGGCAGTTGGCAATTGTTTGAGAAATACGCCATTGACATCATTATGGTAACTAAATATGCTATACGCAACACGCAATAAGTTTAATTATACAGTTATAAAGCTATACGCAATCAAAATCAGGATTTAAATCATTGGACTGGGGGTTGGGTTGACTGGAACCTGGCTCTGGACACTAGGGGTGGACCCAATTGGGTGAATAACTTCGTGGACGCGCCGATTATAGTGAACGCTACGGCCCGGGAGTACTACAAACAGCCGTCGTTTTACTCGATCGCACACTTCAGTAAATTCCTTCCGCCCGGCGCTCAACGCCTGAACCATACGCTCGCAGTCGACGGCCCGACAGATGCGGACACTCTGTTGACCACCAGTTTTGTCCGCACAGACGGCGGGACAGTTGTCGTCGCACTCAATGTCGGCGACACTCCTATCGATGTCACCATTAATGACGTCAAACAGAGACAAAATATCACACATTTATTGAGCGCTCATTCAATGCAAACTTATATTTATTTTGATAATTAAAAAATAAAATAAATTTATTTGTAATTAAACGTTTATTAATTGCAACAATTATTAGATATAAGAATATAATTAATAAATAATAAACGATGAGAATGAATTTTAAATTGTAAATAATTTACTACGAATAAAGATTGTCTTACTTTAAATTTGATATCAAATAATTCAAAAATGGATGTTTGCAAAACATTCTGCTCGTAATGCAATGACAAAATGCGGAAACATTAATTTCTGATCAAGTCAATCAAGTGGTATGAGAAGGACAGTCAGCTTTTTATTTGTCATTCTATCATGCGCTTAATTTATTGGTTAAATTAGGTAAATTTGTTGAAAATTTTTGTTTTTAATAACATTAAAAATTTTTGTTTTAATTAGCGTTTAATATAAAGCATAGATGTGAGGCCACCGGCCAATTCTGGGAACACTGGCGCCAGTATTCCTGGCATTAGTGGACCAGAATAGGGTCACAAACACCAGATGTGGGTCACCTATGACCTACATAGACGGACAGTACCTTAAGTACTGTCAAATACTTACCATATTTTGTCACTCTCTAACACACACTCATTCAGAGCAGTTGTGCTGTACTTTTGTGCCTAAATAAAAGTTTTTAATCGACTCTTTGTCTTCCAATTCTTCGCGCTTCGCCCGCCTATCGCTCGCCCACTGACCGCTCGCCGCTTACCTCTAAGCCCGCACTTCAGATGTATGAATTCTATCAGCAAAAAATATTAAGCTTTTTAATTATTTTATATTTTTAAAAATGATTTTAACTATAAATGTCTTATAAAGTCTTCTTTATATTCTTCAATATAAGTCTTTACTTATTATTAATACAATTAAAGTGAATATTATAGGTTATATGTCAATTTAAATATTATTTTAATTAAACTGCTAAATAATCACGTAAAAGCTATGCATTATAAATCAAATTATTAATGTGGCATAACATAATTTAATTAATGGTTATAATGTTGTAATGTTTATTAAATTAATAAGTTACATTTTAAGCAAAATCACGAAAACACATAAATTACATTATAAAGATTTGGTTTTGCATTATAAAGTACATAAAATCACGTTTAAGCTATTATTTTGTATTAATAAATTCACTCATCTAAAACGAACAAAGTTCAAAATTATAAATACAATATCCTACTGTATGTAAAAAGACGTGACTATATTTAATGTGACGGCAATGTTATATCACTTGTTATAAAATTAATTGTCCATAAAAAATAAATTTATAATAATAATAACTTTATTAGCCATAACATGTTGGTTAATACAATCAATTAAATTGAATTAAAAATCATAATTAAGATTCACAGTGAAATGTTTTACAATTAATTAAAAATACATTAAAATTAATTTCATTTCTTATAAGTTTTGGTAATGAATTAAATAAATCAATAGAATATATAAAAAAGTTTTTGTCACAAAATCTTATTCTGGTGTTGGGTTTGAGAAGAATATTACCATTCCTTTGATTCTCTGATAATTTATACATTATTTTCCAGTTTTCAGGCATTTCTTCGAAACCATACAAACATTTAAACACAATTTTTAAAGCATTTATTTGCCGTCGAGTCTGAAGTGAAGTTAAATTTAATGACAAAAGTCTTTTATTATATTTTAAGTTATGAGAAAACTTTTGATAACAAATATATTTAGTAATCTTTCGTTGAATTTTTTCAATATTTATGTTTTGTGTTGTGTTTGGAATATACACGGTTAGCCCTAGACGTGGCCACTATTGAGGGGTTACGCTTGACTTTGAAAAACTCGTAATATATATCTTTCCAGAGAGATAATGTGCGATACTTTTCACTACCTCAACAACGTTGCAGTCATTATGAGACGTATTGTATGATGGGCCCACAGGCAAATCAATATATATTACCCCTGTTAAACAAAGTTTATATCACAGCCAATGATAGGATACAAGTCATCAGTTTAGTGGGGAAACGTTTGACAGTATATCTCATGTTTCTAAACACTATAGTCATGGAGTATTCACTAATAGACCTACTTTGATGTAATCACATATGTGTCCGGCAGTGGCTCAGTGGTTAGAGTCTACGACTCTAGTGCGTAAGGTCGCTGGTTCGTATCCTAGTAGCGCTAGAATTTTTCACTTTTTAAAAAAAATAATCACCCATTCATTAGTGTTTATATTCACCCCTATATATGCAAAGTCACACACATGTATGTGTTTATAATTAGACATGTAGGTGCGAATATAATCAAGGGTGCTGGTAGTGATTCTTGGCACTAGAAATGGAACTTTTAGGGGTGATTGTGAGCCCCCAGGTGCTGAGAGTGTAGCAAACATTGCAATAATCAATTAACGGTAAAATATAAGTCTTGTATAATAATAATAATGTATCACAATTAGCAAAACAACACAACTTTTTTAAATACGCCCATTTTTGCAATGATTTATTTATTATATAATCAATATATTCATTGAAATTTAGTTTGTCGTCAATAATAACACCCAAATGTTTATGACTTGAATGTCGAGGTATTAGCGAACCGTCAATATTATAATTTGATAGATTATCACAGTTTTTGTACGATATTCTCAAATGCACTGATTTTGATGAATTAATTATTAACTTCTTATTTCTAAACCAATTATTGACTAAATTTATATCCGTTATCCGCAAAACGTTATTAAATGTTTTGCCAATTATTTTTGATTCGAAAGAAATTAAATATATAAGATTTGATTGCATGTATTCCTAATACTATAAAAATAAATTATTATTATTATAACTTATATATTATATAATTTATAAGAGTATTATTAAATTAATGAGATTTAAATGTCAAGCAATATATTTTATTGTATTAACATTAATGCGAACAATTGGTTACATAAAAATGTGACACATTTTATTGTTATATTTAATATATTTTTTAAAATTGTGATTTTTAATATAAATATATAAAAATAAAATGAATAGTTTTAATTATTAAGTACCGTATAATTAGGTATATTAATAGGTCAATTATAACTAGCATTTAATTATTGCCTTTTGGCAAACATTGTGCCCAACGTGTGAGTTGCGGGAATGGGCGCCGACTGCTGTCCGCCCATAATCTTCACAATGTATTCATATTTTGCGGCAAAATATTCAAAGAAAAAGCGGCACTCGTTTTGCCGGATGTGTGACAACACGTGCCGACAATTGGCATCATTTGCCACATAATACTCGTCTATAGACCACTCGCAC